CAGCTCGTGTTTCCACGCGCGACGCGGCGAAGAGAAGCTCAAAGACGCGCTGGCGTTCCCGTACGTGCCGTTCTGGAATCTGCGGCTCGCGGAAGCCGCGGCGGTGTTCGAACAGCTGCAGTGGACGCTGCTTTTCTTCGACAAAGACTACAACTACAAGACGGCAGTCGAGCTGAGCGACTACGTGTTCGTCCCGTCGTGCGACGCGTACGGGCCGACGGTCACGTTTCTGTTCAACAGCGCGAAGCACGAGCCGAGCTCCGGCAGCTCGAGCTGCGGCTCGACGAGCGCCAGCCCTGGCGCGGAGCGCGAGCGCGGCGCGCCGAGCCACTTGCGCAAGTTCTCGCTGCAGCTGCCGTGCAACACGTTCTGTGTCGCGCGGTGGCTGATGCTGTTCGAGCTGTGCAACGCGCGCTACCGCGACTTCGGCGAAGTGTTCGTCAAGCAGGGCGCGGTGAGCAACGGCAGCTTCAGCCGCGTGTACGAGATCGTGAACGTGCTGACCGGCGAGCGGCTCGCGGCGAAGGCGGTGGAAAAGTGCAGTCTTTCGCGCGCGAACGGGTTCAACGAGATCAAGATCTTGCACGCGATCTCGCACCCGAGCGTCGGCCGCTTCTACGAAGCTTTCTGCAACAACCAGACCATCATGATTCTGACCGAGTACTACTACGGTGGCGGCCTGAACAGCTACATCAACCGCTTCAGCCGCTTGCGAGAGGACTGCGCGCGGACCGCGCTGTACAAGCTGTTGCAGGCGCTGCTCGTGATCCAGCGCTACCACGTGCTGCACCGCGACTTGAAGAACGACAACATCATGCTGAAAAACGCGGACGACCCGACGTCGGTCGTGATCATTGACTTCGGGCTGTCGTCGCACCTATACTCGAAGCAGATTACGATGCGCTGCGGCTCGCCGGGCTTCGTCGCGCCCGAAGTGCTGACCGACCGCCCGCTGACCGACATGAAGTCCGACGTGTTCAGCCTCGGCGTGATTTTTTTCACGATGCTGACCGGCAAAGAGCCGTTCAGCGCGAAGAACAACGAAATGACGTTGCGCAGAAACGCGAAGTGCGAAGTGCAGTTCACCGAGCCCGTGTTCGACACTCTGTCCGAGAAGTGCAAGAGCATGCTCGCGTGGCTGCTGCAGCGCAACCCTGAAAAGCGCTGCGACGTCGCGAGCGCGCTGCGGCACCCGTTCTTCACGAATGAGCCGCTGAAGCCGGGGCTGCCGGTGCTCTCGAACGCCGCGCAGAGTCTCGCGCGACTGCCGGAACACTGCTTCAGCGCGCAGCCCGCGATAGCGGCGCTGCCGAGCGAGGGCGCCGCGGCGAAGGCGGAGCGCGGCGCGAGCGCCTTCGCGACGCCGCGCCCGGGCTGCGCCCAGCGCGACGCGTACGGGCACTTCGCGTCGCCGCGCAACTGGCTAACGCCTGCAAACAGCGCGCTGCACACCGCGGCCGACGCGTGCAGCGCCGGCGCCGACGGACTCGGCGGCGACGCGGGCCACTGCGAATACCTCTTAATCAACAAGTTTTTGGATCGCTAGTTGCCTTCATTTTTCTTAGCAGGCGACTCGGTCGTGCAGCAGGAAGCTGCGAAACGTGAGCTCGTCGAGCTTGCCCGCGCTCTCCTGGTCGTTCGGAGCGGCGGCGGCGCGCAGCGGCGCGCCGCTCAGCGCAGCGGGGCCGAGCGAAAACGCCGCCGCCATTGCGTCGATGCCCGCGTCGTGCTTCAGCTGGCGCTCCGCCTCGCAGTTCGCGAGCGCGTCGACAGCGGGCGGCGTAAACTCGAGGCACTCGGCGAGCGCGCGCACCTCGAAGCGCGGCAGCGGAGCGCTGACGTCGATGGGCAGCTGCAGCTGCAGCAGGCGCGCGCAGGCCGCGGGCCACGTCTCGTCGGTCGGCTCGCCGGCGCGCGGCGCGCCGTTCATGCGTTGCTCGAGGAAGGCCGAGAACGCCTGCAGCTGCGCCAAGGGCTGCGCGGCGAAGCGCTTGCAGCGCAGGTACGCGGCGAACAAGAAGGGACAGACCAGCAGCGTAGACGTCAGAAAAGCCGTCAGCAGCTCGACAACGTGGCCTGCGACCGCGCTCTCCAGCGTCTCGCGCGGCAACAGGAACAGCTCCCAGAACCACGCGACGCCAGCGTCGATGCACTTCAGGTAGCTGACGTCGACCTGCGTGAGTTCGAGCGCAGGCTGCGCGCGGACGGAGTGGTTCAGGTTGTACTTGCGCACGAAGCGGCGGAACAGCCTCGGATACAACTGGACGTCGTCGAGCGCCGCGAGCGCGCGCCGCTCGAGCGCCACGGAGCAGAGCGCGTCGAGCAAAAACGGCGCCGTGACGCAGTTTACGCGAGAGAGCAGCAACTGCCCCATGATGTGGTTCAGGCTGTTCACGCCGAAGAGCGCGACCGGAGAGCGCGCCCACTGCAGGTTCGTGAGCATTGCGGTGAACACCGCTTCGACGTAGCGGCAGAGCGCAGCTGGCGCGATGTGCGGGAGCGCCTCGCAGCGCGCGTGGAATGCGAGCGTCAGCTCGAGCAGCGCGGCGGCCGCCGCCGCGAAACGCGGGTCCTCGCACTGCGAGAAAACCAGGAACGTGGCGTGCGAGAGCGCGTCGAACAAGAAGTACGCGAACAGCTCGAGCCAGCGCTCCGCGAAGCTGCCGTTCACGAGGCTCAGCAGCGCGGCCGCCGCTTCGCGCACGCGACCGAGGTCTTGCAGGTGCAGCTTGCGACACAGCGAGAACACGTAGCTCGCGCGCACCGGCGAAGCGCGGTGCTCGCGCAGCAACCGCTCAGCGCTCGCGATGAAGATGTTCGCGCAGAAACTGTTGCGCGCCAAACGACGATTCTTCGCGGCTGCTAGCGCGCGGCCAGCGATTACCGTGGCTGCGCACTCCGCGGAAAAGCTGGTTTGCAGCGCCGCGAGGCGCGCAGCGAGTTGCTCGGCTCGCGCGTCGAACGATGCGCACAGTTGCGAGAACTGTTCGTGCTCGGCGCTGCTCGCGACTTGCGCAGCCCCGCACGCAGGCGCGCTAGCTCGGCAGAGCGCAGCGCCAGCGGTGCCGAGCTCTGCCGTCTCCGCGACCGCGCTACGGCGGCGTTCGCGACTCGAAGGCGGCGGGCTCGCAGACGGACTTCGCGGCGAGACGAGCGATTGCTTTGCGCACACGGCGGCGCGGATTTGGTCGCTGAAGCCGCTGATGCGGCTGTCAAGCCGACGCAGCAGCGCAGCGCTTGCGGCGCCCGAAAGCTTGCTGCAAACCTCCGCCACCAGGTCGAGCACCAAGGGCTTGACGTCCGGGTGCGGGCAGAGCCAGTAATCCGCAAACTGGTCGAGGACACTGAACGGCTCCGCAGCGACGCAGTCTGGGCTCGCGACTCTGTAGATGCACAACAAGGCACTCAAGTCGAAAATGAAGCCGCGTTCTGCAAGCGGGTCGTCCAGCGCGCGGCCCGCGAAACGCGTCTGCGCCAGGAAATGCCGGTGCAGCGCCGGCACGTCGGCGCAAGCGAGAATCGCGCCCTTGCACACGTGCAACGCCAATTGGCCGCGTGAGCGCGCCGACTCGGCGTCCGCGCCGCACACGTCGGCGCGTGCGAACGCGGCGACGTAGCCGGCGCGGAGCTTACCGAGCACCGCGACGACGAGGTCCGCAGCTAGCCCCAAGCGCTGCAGTTGCGCCCGCAGCTCAACAGCGTGCCGCTTGGCGGCTGGGCAGGCCCAGAGCGCGCAGCCGTCTAGTGCTGCAGCGCTGTCGTCTGCGGCAATCTCAGCGGCGCTGCGCGATTCGGCCGTGCGCTGCTCTGCGGCAGCAGCACTCGAGTTGCCGTCTGCAGTCAAATCGCAGCGCGTATCGCCGTAAGCGCTCGCGGCACGCTCGGAGCAATAGTGGTCTGCCAAGAAGCTGTGATAGGTGGAGGCCGCGGTGCGTTCCGACGCGTCGCCGAAGCAGCGTTGCGAGCACGCGGCGACGTAGTCGAGCACTCGCGCGCGCTCTGCGCCGCTGTCAGCGGAATCAGACACCAACGAGTCGCTACGCGCCCGTTTGCGGTAGTACACGAGTGTGTCGACGACGTTGAAGAGCGAGAGCAGGCTCGAGAGCTTGCCGGTGCGCTCAAAGTCAGTGGCTAGGAAGAGCAGCAGAAACAAAGACAGTCCGCGTTCCGCGTCGAAGAAGACTAGCAACAGCTTCGCTGCACACGTGGCGTAGCTGCAGCGACTGAAGTCCGCGCTCCCGCAGCTGCCACACGGTTGCGCGCGGTCGCTCGTGAACCTGCTGAGCCGGCTGGTAAGGCGCAGCCAGTACTGGTCGAGGAACTCGCTGCGCGGCGCGACGAGCGTGGCGCTCTGCAGCTGCTGCTCAACGAAGTGGCCCTGCAGCAGCCGCACGAATGCAGCGCTGAAGTGGTGCTCGGCGCACGCGGTGAAGCTCTCTGGAGTCGCGCGCTTCAGAAGCGCGGAGCAGCCGCAGCTCGGCTGCTCGCAAGCCGCTAGGTTAGGCTCGGCGAGCGCAGCGTCCTGCAGCAGCACGGGCTCGGCTACGCCTTCGGCGGCGAGCGCCGCCTGCGCATATTCGCGCAGAGCCGCGGCTAGCGCAGCGCTCGACTGGATCTGCTCCTGCAACAGCAACAGAAAACTAAGGTTGGGACCGAAGCGCTCGAGCGTCTGGGCGACGACCTCGGGAAAGCCGTTGGCGGAAAGCGACCGCAGCAGCGCCAGCAGCTGAATGAAGAGCGTGTGCGCGCGCAGGAATGGCAAAGTCAGCAGCAGGTTCAGAAAGCCGTCGCAGTTTGCGTAACAGCGAAGCGCACAGCGCACCGTCTGCGCAACCGCTGATTGACCGAGCCCGCGCAGTGCGCAGGGGCCGCCCGTTGCACCAGCGAGGGTTGCGAGGTCCTCCAGGTCTTGCACTGCCGAGAGCGCGGCCCCGAGCGGCTCGCTGGCGAGCAGCGCCGGTGCGTCGCGAACAGCGCGAGAGCACGCCACGAAGCCTTCTTCGTTCGGCGCAGCACAACTGCAAACGCTTTTCGCGAGGTACAGCAGCAGACAGACGGTGGCGCTTTGCCACACCGATTTCGTGACCACATGCGCGCTAAACGCGGCAAGCAGCTCGAGTTCTGCGACTCCGAACGCGATCTGCACGCGAAACATAAGGGCCCGCAGTAAGTCGTCGACAGCTCGCCGCGGTGATGCAGTGTGCGCGCTCTCAAAAGCACTGAAGCACGTTTTCCACGGTGTCGTCGAGGAATGCAGTAGCGCGCGCTGCGCTTTTTCCGAGCGGTCGCAAAGCTGTTCGAGCGGGACAAACTGTTGCAGTTTGCCTCGCGCAGACTCAGAGAGCATGCTGCAAAGCGCCTCAAAGGCGATGTTTTCTATCGAGTGCAGCGCGCACCGAAGTAGCGGCAGACACGCCGCTGTCAGCAGAGACGCCTCCAGCGAGTCGGCGCCGCGCGAGACTTCAGCGTTCAGCGTCGCGCAAAGTCTCTCGGCTAGCTGCGGCGCGAAGGGCAGCGCGCCTTCTTGCTTGGCTGACAGGCGGTGAAGCGCCTCTGTCAGAAGACATAGACAGAGAGCGCGCTCGAAGGCGGAATGGTTGATGTCGCGCGCCAAGTCCGTCAGGTGGCGCGCGAGGCTTTCCGCTCCAACGAGGTCGTTCACCGCGCAGTGCTGCAGCGCGCGTAGTTGCGTTTTCAGCGAGTATTTGTCGAGCAGCCTCAGCACATCCAACTCTGCGGACACGCGGCCGCAGCACGCAGCAAGCAGCGAGCACAGTGCCTCCGCGTCCACGATGAGATGAACGTTCTGCACAAAAAATTCGAAGCTGTTTGGAAAGCCGGTGCAGGCAGAGACGGCCCGACCGACCTGCAACGCGGGCACGACGACTGTCCGGCAGAATGACTGCGCGACGGAAGGGTCAGGGTCCACAAAGTCAAAGGCAGGCAGCGCGGCAAATGGCGTCGCTGCGCGACGCGGCGGCGGCTGCGAAGCTGAATGGTGGCCGGCACGGTCGGCGAGCTGCGCAGCTTCGGCCGAAGCGGCGTGGCTCGGCAGGCGGCCGTCGCTGTCTTTGTCCGCGTGCAGCGGCCCGCAGAACTGCTCGCTCGCCGCTCGATATTCCGGAGCATCGCGGCTGAGGCGCACCAGTAGCTCGCGGATC